TCTCTCTCTCTCTCTCTCTCTCTTCTCTCTCTCTCTCTCTCTCTCTCTCTCTCTCTCTCTCTCTCTTCTCTCTCTCTCTCTCTCTCTCTCTCTCTCTAGGCGCAGAAATGGAAAGTGTTAAATTTGTTGCGATGAGTGAATAATTGAATTCATTTTCTTTCACACTACGAAAATGTGTGACGTCACTATGGTCGTACGTGGGTTGCGTAACCATTCCAGATTTTCTTGCTTTCTTCTTCTTCTTGTTCTTCCCCTCCTCCTCCCTCCTCCTCCTCCTCCTCCTCCTTCCCCTCCTCCTCCTCCCCTCCTCCCCTTCCTCTTTCCCTTCCCTTTCCCCTTCTTCCCCCTCCCCTTCCCAGCAGTGTTGTGGAATTGGTCAGTGTGTGCCAATGGTTCTGTTTCATTGTTATGTTGACATGATGTGTGTTATGGGTGGTTATTGTAATCTATGGGGTGAATATGTATATGTTATGGGTAGAGAGAGTATTTTTCTTCGTCTAGTATTTCTTCTTCTTCTAATTCTTTTCGTCTCCTTCTTCGTCTCCTTTTTTCTTGTTCTTCTTCTTTTTCTTCTTTTTCTTCTTCTTTCTAATTCTTCTTTTTTGAGTCTTCTTCCTCGTTCTTGTTCGTTTTTGTTTTCTTCTGCGTTTTCTTCTTCTTCCTTGTTCTGCTTTTCTTCCACCTTCTTCCTCTTCTTCTTCTTTTGCTTCTTTTATTTCTTCTTCTTCTTCTTTTGCTTCTTTTATTTCTTCTTCTTCCTTTGCTTCTTTCATTTCTCCTACTTCTTCTTTCTCTGAAAAATAGAGCTTTTAGGACATAAATTTTATCGTCAGTTGACAGGAATTTTAATAAAGGCACGAGGCAGATCTCCCTCCCCCCTCCCCCTACGCTCTTCCTCTCCCCTCTCTTCCCCCGGGTGTGGTGGGGGCGGGGTGAGGGTTGGGGTAGTGGGGGGTGGGGTGGGGCAGTGGGCAGGGTGGAGGTTGGGGTTGGGGCAGGGCAAGGGTCGGAGTTGGGGCAGTGGGCGGGGTGAGGGTTGGAGTTGGGGGCAGTGGGCGGGGGTGAGGGTGAGGGTTTGGGGCAGTGGACGCTGGTGGGGTTATGGGCAGTGGGGGGTGGAGGTTGGGGCAGTGGGCGGGGATATGGGCGAGGGGTGGGGCGGGGCGCTGTTGCCCGGTAGGACGAAGCCAGTCGTGCCGGTAACTAGGTCGTAGGAGTTCACCTGTGTGATCGTTAAGGCCCCGCGTCGAGCCGTCTTCGTCGCCTCCTTCTGCCTCGCTCTTCTCTTCCTCTCTCTTCCTTTTTTCCCGTTGCTTTTTTTATTTTTTTTTTCTCTTCTTTTTTTTTCTCCTTTTAAGCGTTTTTTCCGTCTTTTTTGTTTTATTTTCTCTGTTCTTTTGCTCTCTTCTTGTTTTATCTCTTCGCGTTTCTTTTTTTTTTTCGTTTTTTTTTAATACTTTGTCTTCGCATTTGTTTTTCTTTTCTCCTTTTTGCAGTTTCTCTTTTCTTTCGTTTCTTCCCTCTTTCAGCTTCTCTGCAATTCCTCTCTTCTCTTTTGTCGCTCTCTCTTCGCTCTCTCTCTTGCCTTCATTACATATTTATATTCCTTTCTATTTTTATTCTCTCCTCCTTGCTTCTCCCGTCTTTCGCTTCTGTGTGTCTTCTGGCATTCCGCTTTCTTCCCTTTTGCTACTTTACATCATCTTTTCTATCGTGTCTCTTCCCTCGTCTTCGTTCCTTGTCTACATCTACATTTCCCTTTCGTTTCCTCTCGTCGTATCTCCCCCTTCCGTTTTTTTTCTACATATTCGTTTCCTATTTCCCTTCTCTTTCGCTCCTCTACATGCGAGTATTATCTTGTTACTTTTGCTTCTTCGGGTCTCTGCGTCTTCCTTTCCCTCTCCTTTCCTCTCCTCTCCTCGCTTTTCCCTCTTTCTTTTTTTTCACATTTGCATCTCCTTCTCTCGCTGCTTTCGTCTTCTTATCTGAAAGGGGGGGCGGTGATCCCCCGGTGACAGTCACTGTGGTGTTCTAAATGGCGGGGGGGGATTTGGCAGGGAAGATAAGAGATAATAAATAATAAGATAATAATAATACTACGGTATGCATGATATATGATTTAGATTTGCATGACTTTCAAGTATGTATTTTTTTTCTCTGTTTCCTCTCTCCTCCCCCCATCACTCTTTCGCTTGTTCATTTCATTCCTCTCTCTTATGGTGTACGTCTCTTTCTCTCTCTCTCTCTCTCTCTCTCTCTCTCTCTCTCTCCTCTCTCTCTCTCTCTCTCTCTCTCTCTCTCTCTCTCTCTCTCTCTCTCTCTCTCTCTCTCTCTCTCCTGCTCTCTATTATTTCTTTCTACCTCTGCCCTATCTACTGACAGACAGACTCATCCTCGAAAAGTGGAGAGCGTAGAGGGCCGTTCCTTCTTCCGTTCAGCCCCCCCCCCCCCCATGGCCGTTCCTTCTTCGGTTCAGCCTCCCCAGTGGCATTCGTAATTGGAAGGGGTCTCTGCGCCCAGCCATAGGACTCTGCACTGGACAGCTGATGCCCGAATAAGGTATTAAGGCAGATTCACGCTCGGAATTAGCATGAAATCTCGCCTTAATAGGTCTTTCTCACTCCCCAAGGTTCGCTTTTAAAGGGAGTTGTTCGAATGCGTGACTTTTTCGACGTTCGGGGTATTACGAGCGTTCGTATTCGTTCGTTGTAAAGGGGGCTGTTCCCTGGCACGCTCGGCCTCTCGATGCGGGAAGTTGCACGCGCGTTGGCACTGGCACTGGCACTGTCGCCGGTGTTCCGTGTGCGCGACGTTTGAGCGAGTCAGGCGCAGGCACTCCCTTGCAGGCTTCGTGGACTCACGCATGAAACTGATCCGTCATGCACTGGGTTGCCTCCTCCTGAACCTGCTTGCTGAGGCGTGCACGAATTCAGCTCTGCCTCGGACGGATTCGGTCATGCACGCGGGCTCTCGCACAGAGGCGGAGTTACACGTAGAGACGCGGGTGCACATACACACGCTTGCACGCACCCACCTACGCACACATACGGACGGAGAGAGAGACAGGCAGACAGACGGACAGACGGACGGGCAGAGAGTGTGTGAGTTAGATAGATAGATAGAGAAAGCTCTTATCGGTTTTTTATTACCCAAATATCATTTAAAATGTAAAACATTTAAAGAGAGACTGGTATATGAATAAACAAAAAAGTATCCATCATAGTCCCCCCTGGAATACATGCCCCCCCCTCCCAATTTGTAAAGAAAACGGGTATTGTAGAATACGTCTGTAAACACACGTCAACTTTTCTGTCACCTGCAGAGTCCGTGCTCTAGAATATTACGTTTTCTACTCAGGGAAATCTTATTTATTTACATAGTTCCTTACAGAAAAGAGTTTCTTCTGTCGTTTTATTTGTTTGTTTTTGATCGGGATAACGGAGCAGGTGTTTACATTGTTTGAATAGTAGTAAATGGAGAATATAGGAAAAAATAATATATATTGATAATTAAATCGGTCTATTTAAATTTATGATAAGAGCAAATAGGGAGGCGATCCAGAAATAAAGTTGAATGTTGAATTGTTTTAATATTCATCAGTTATTGATATATGCATGTGTGCATGCGTGTGCCTGCGTGTGTTCGTGTGTGCATGTGTATTTATGTGTGTGTGTTTGTGTTGTGTATGTGTATGTGTATGTCTATGTGTGTGTGTTTATGTATGTGTGTATGTGTATGTGTATGTGTATTTATGTATGTGTGTGTTGTGTGTATGTGTATGTGTATGTGTATGTGTGTGCACGTGCATGTGTATGTATGTGTGTGTGTGTGTGTGTTAAACTGTTAGTATCATTGACTTCTATGCAAAGGGTTTACTTTCCGGCTAAACTCGGGATCACGTGGTCGATGAATCAATGATCTGTTCTGGAATAGACTTCAGCTGTTTGCTTTTGTTCGTGTGGTAGAGAGTCAGAGAAAGGGGGGGGGGGGGGGGGGGGGGCTTCCTGTCCACGCTTACTCGGCAAAAGTTCACTTGAATAGCCTGATTATTGCGCACGCACGTGTATTCGTGTGTGTGCGTGTGTGTGGATGTGTGTGTGTGTGGTGTGCGTGTGTGTGTGTGTGCGTGTGCGTGTGCGTGTGCGTGTGTGTGTGTGTGTGTGTGTGTGTGTGTGTGTGTGTGTGTGTGTGTGTGTGTGTGTGTGTGGTGTGCGTGCGTGCCTGCGTGTTGTTCGTGTGTGCATGTGTATTTATGTATGTGTGTGTGTGTTTATGTATGTGCGTGTGTGCATGTGTATTTAAGTATGTGTGTGTATGTGTGTGTGTGTGTGTGTGTGTGTGTGTGTGTGTGTGTGTGTGTGTGTGTGTGTGTGTGTGTGTGTGTGTGTGAGTCCATAATTTCTCGCTTCCTCCCACTTCCCACTTGCAAGAATCGACCCTTTTTTTGACTCAATTGGCGTTTATTATTTCAAACGTTCCTCCAACTTGTCCCGCTGGGTGTGTGTGTGTGTGATTCATGCTGTTCGGTCGGTTGGGGTCTCTCGGTTGGTCGGTTGTGATCTGATCGGTCGGTGTTTCGGGTGGTCGGTTTCTGTCGGTTGTTCGTTGGTTGGTCGGGTCGTCAAGTGGTCGGTTTTCGTCGGTTTTTATCGGGTGGTCGGTTTCTGTCGGTTGGTCGTTTGGTTGGTCGGGTCTCTTGTCAAGTGGTCGGTTTCTGTCGGTTAGTCGGTTTTTATCGGTTGGTCGTTTCTGTCGGTTCGTTGGTTGGTCGGGTTTCTTGTCAAATGGTCGGTTTGTCGGTCGGTCGGTTTTATCGTTGGTCGGGTCTCTGTCAGTTGGTCGGTCTCTGTCGTCGATCGGTTTCGTCGAAGTGGTCGGTTTCTGTCGGTCGGTCGGTTGAGGGTCGCGGCACCAGCGCTGACTTGCGTTCGTTTCATCGGCTCAGTGGGTCTTGTTCGTGGGTTATCAGGGCAAGGGCGTTCGTGTAAACATGGCGGAAG